ACCAAGTTCTTCCTACCCACTGCCAGATTCAGAATTTCATTAAGATGAGTAACCCCTCCACAAGAGATTTTGGTGATGGGTCTTTGAATAGATCCTCTTATTATATCTTCCCATAGCACCTTAGATTTTTCCTTCATAGCACTTATTATTATTGCAAATTATTAATTACACAATCCATTGTCCCATTTCTGGTATTTAACTTAAGAATTAATTCTTAAGAGGGCATTAACTTACCAATTAATTCAACAGAAAGAGAAAGCTATATGCACATTATATTGTCTATAAGCTCCAGGAGAGCTTTTTTTCCCAGAGATTTGTGTCCTTTGTGTTCAACTCTATATCCTAAGCCCCTAAAACAGTGGCTGCCACATAATAGGCACTGAACAAATATTTATTTGAATGAGTACATAAGTGAATTAGCATAATAAAAGAAACAAGGTTAATTATGTTTCTTTCTTTTTTTTTTTTTTTTTTTGAGACAGAGTCTCACTCTGTTGCCCTGGCTAGAGTGCCGTGGCGTCAGCCTAGCTCACAGCAACCTCAAACTCCTGGGCTCAAGCAGTCCTTCTGCCTCAGCCTCCCGAGTAGCTGAGACTACAGGCATGCGCCACCATGCCCGGCTAATTTTTTTCTATATATTTTTAGTTGGCCGATTAATTTCTTTCTAATTTTAGTAGAGGCGGGGTCTTGCTCTTGCTCAGGCTGGTCTCGAACTCCTGAGCTCAAACAATCCGCCCGCCTCGGCCTCCCAGAGAGCTAGGATTACAGGCGTGAGCCACCGCGCCCGGCCTATGTTTCTTAAATTTACTTGATGATGGAACTGTTTTTTTTCAAATACAAGTTAACATTCTAAGGGACACACCTGGGAAATTGCCAAGTCCACGTATGATGAAAAAGTATCAAGAGAAGGCAAGGATAAGTAGTCTGTGTTCTCCACTGGATACCCCTCAGAATTTGCCTGATGAGAGCCACGAGCGGTGGTATGCGCCCATAGTCCCTGCTCCTTGGGAGGCTGAGGTGGGAGGATCCTTCGAGCCTGGGAGTTGGAGACCAACCTGAGCAACATAGCATGTCTATTAAAAACAAAAAAGTGCCTGTTGAGCTGCCGCACCCACTGTGCAGCACAGCTGAGAGGAACCTCGGCGATTTGACTGACTTGAAGGGAATTTTGTTGAAGCAAATTGATCAACATAGCACTTTGATAATTTGGTGGAAAGCTAATAGTCCTCATTAATGTTCTCTTGAAAATTGGTCACTTGTGGATTATTGAGCAGTTTTACAGGCCAGTACCATCAAATTGTTTTAGAGGACAACTCTAAAATAAATGTTTCTTAGGGAAGTTCATTTGTGAGCATTTATCCAATGCTGACATATATTGAAGTTAAATGAGTCTTTTGCATATTTTAAAAGATTAACATATCCAAATAAAAAGATTAATTAATTCACAGAGACTTTCTCTGTATAAGTGAGAAATTATTCTGGCATTTAGTCAGCCTGCGTATAAAAAGCTCTGGATTAGGACTCTAGATTAGTTGAGACATCTGGTTCTAATTCTAGCTTTGCTCCCAAAGAAACTGCTTGATCTTTAGGAGACTTTCTGAGCCACAGGGACTCCTTCTATTAAGTGAGGGGACTGAATTAAAAAAACTGTTAATATTCCTTCTAGTTGGGATATATTTAGCGTCTAGGAATGGCATAAGGAGCCGTGAACATGAAGAACTGGTTAATACATTCATTGCTGTGGCTAGTCCAGACTCGGAGACTATTACAGGCAAGTGGATGCTAAAATACAAAGTTCAGGTTTCATGAACTTAAATCATGATTGCTCTTCAGCTGAGCAATTCAAAAGGCTCTCACAGAACAGATTGAGTAAAGCTCACTTATATTTAATGCTGGCTGAGAAGAAAAGTGAAATGTGATGAAAGATACACTGAAATTAACCCGAAGCAGACCCTTTGCTATTTGCAGGTCTATAGTAGGACCACTTTACTTACTAGCTTTGTTCTGTGACCTTCTAAGTGTCTCTTGAGCTTCCAGCACTTGATTTTCCCCTCAGATACATTTCCCTTGTACTGCTTATCTTGTAAAATTAACTACCGTGTAACAGATGTATGAGCCAAAGCTAATTTTATAAGAAACTTGAGTGAGAGGAAATCAATCTTTCAAGGTCCCTGAAGTCCTGAGATCATAAAGAAAAGACTAAATAAGTAGTTTCTGGCTTTTTACTTTTGATTTCCTTCTAGTTTCAGTTTTCTTCCTCTGAATCTCTCTTCTCAGAACTTCCGTGGCATATATAGATGCTCATAAACAAACAAACAAAAAAATGAGGAATACTAGGCTGTTAGAAAGGTCACAGTCCACACTGCCAACAGGCGCGGCCAGGCTGGCTGGTTAGTGGAAATTTACAAGTGATAATAGGCTGCCACTTTTGCTTTAAGAGCTACTCCCACTTGGGGACCTGAAACTGTGTAGTCACCAAAACAGAGAAAAGTGGTTAATTTTTTGATTTACTGGAAGGAGCTCTATTGATCAAGTTCATTTAATGTTACTAGTTCATTCTACACACTATCACAGTTTACTTTTGGCCACCACAGATACTTCAGTACTTACAAGTGATAAAATGTAATTATTGTTGAGTTGCAAAATCATGGGCTATGTGCATTACTGTAAACCTAATCTCCAACTCACGTGCAAGTTTAAAATTCTAAATTGTTCTGAGTTCTTCTCCTGGTTATGAGATTTTGTGTGTTTTTGTTACGTAAAACGCAAATCTAGTGACTGTTTTGAAAAGATCTAGGCAAAAGGTCATGACAACAATTCAGCTATTTAGCACAACTCTCTGTAAACAAATCACCAGAGAAAGGCTTAAAGTGAGGTAATAATTCCGGCTCATTGTCAGTGAATAAACACCAGGCAGCTATAGACATGTTTAATGAATTCCTGCACTCTCTTCAAATACAAATTAATACAACATAGCATTTTGTGATTTGAGGTAATTGCCCACATGGCTGAGCTGTGTACCTCCACAAACGGTATAATTTAAGTGTGGATTTATGTATGGAACATATAATACTCTGAATAAATATTTTGAAATGGACATTTATTTCACAGAAAAGGCAAGTAAGATAAAGAAGAAATACTGACAAGGGAGACACCAGACATAAGTAACAACAAAGCAAGCCAAACTGTGCTCTGCTAGGTGTTTAGCAAACTACCTCCTCAGCACTAAGGAGGGGCAATTTATTTATTTATTTTCGAGACAGAGTCTCACTCTGTTGCCCGGGCGAGAGCGCCCTGGCATCAGCCTAGCTCGCAACCTCAAATTCCTGGGCTCAAGCGATCCTCCTGCCTCAGCCTCCTGAGTAGCTGGGACTACAGACATGTGCCACCATGCCCGGCTAATTTTTTCTATATAT